CTTGCCGCTATGGCGCTTCCCACTAGGAGTAGAAGCAGCCCCGACCTCCTCAGCACCAAGGAAGTCAACAGCAGCAGTAAAGGCGTAGGAGGGGGCAGGGGGGGAGGGGGAACACCCCTCAAAGAAGGGCGTGCGAGGAGTGCCCCGAGCAGCACCTACATCGACTATGCTAGTCTCAGCTGTGAGGAGGTGCTTCTCGAGGAGGTCGATAGTGAGGGTGGTGGGGTCAAGTGCGAGAAAGGTGTCCCTGGCTGCGCGAAGAGAGTTAGGGAGGCGGGTGACTATGAAGTAAAGTGTGATGTACATCGGGGGCGGGTTCTTGTCTAAGAACTCAGCTGGGAGGGCGTCGCGGTAGCGAGTGTCACTAGCGCGAAGGTGGGTGATGAGGTCCTCAACTGTGGCAAAGGAGGACAGCTCGGGAAACAGGTAGGGCAGGATAAGGCAGCCGAGAGCAGCAGTGGCAGGGGAAGAGTAGCGAGCGACTCTAGCGTCGTGCAGGGCCTTAGCGGTCTTGTGCTGGCCAAAATGAGCGCGTTTGGCTAACGGCAGGTGGTTGCGAACGGCTAGGCGAGCAGCAGCGTCACGGGTAAGCCACTGTGAGCAAGTGAGACTGTTAGCAGTATCAGGAGGAGCGACTGAGGAACCAGACGTGTGGTCAAACAGCCGTCTTTAGCATCGGTCATTAGGTACAGCTGCAGGTCATCGAGCCACCTATCGAACTGGATTGGCCGGCCCTCAGGATCGAACGAGAGTACGCTGAGAGTAGCCATAACTTGCAGAGCGTGGCAGGGCAGGGATGCGCGTAGGCAGAGCAGGGCGGCGCGCGTTTAGTAGGGCGGCGCACGGGCAGGCTGCAGGGCAGGGCAGGGAAGGGCGGCGCGCGGGCAGAAAAGGCGGCGCGCGGCCAGGTAGGGTCGGCACACGGCCAGCAGGGCGGCGCGCGGGCTGCAGAGGGCGGCGCGCGGGCAGGCAGGGGCGGCACGCGGGCAGGCAGGGCGGTGCGCGGGCTGCAAAGGGTGGCGCGCAGGCAGGTAGGGGCGGCGCGCGGCCAGCAGGGCGGTGCGCGGGGCAGCAAAGGGCAGCGCGCGGGCTGCAAGGGCGGCGTGCGGGCTGCGAAGGGCAGCGCGCGGCCAGCAGGGCGGCGCGCAAGCTGCAGACGGGTGGCGCGCGGGCTGCATGGGGCGGCGCGCTGGTGGCGCAGGGCAGGGCAGGGTGTGCGCGGGGCAGCACGACGCAGGGCAGGGCAGGGCGTGCACGGGGCGGCGCAACACAGGGCAGGGCGCGCACGGGGCAGCGCGATGCAGGGCAGGGCGTGCACGGGCAGCGTGAAGCAAGGCAGGGCAGGGCAGGGCGTGCGCGGGCGGCGCGACGCAGGGCAGGGCGTGGGGTAGCGCGGTAATCGCAGTCGGTTACTAGCTAATGGTGGGACCGGAAAAAAAATGGTCCTACGGACCTACTGCTCTGAAAAAATGTCAGAAACTAAAGAGCAGGAATGATTGCATTGAGTAAGAATGTGGTACAAGTACTAACCCTAATTTGGGTCGTACCCCGTATGGGCTAGCCTACACACCAATATAACAGTTTCACACCAGCAACCACTTGATCAGCGTAGAAGTCACGTCGGACTTCTTTGCCAAGGGGAACTCGGTGGAGTAGCGCGACTAGTCGGGGCGAGGGGCGGGGCCCCAAGTCTTGAAGGGCTTGGTTGCCGGACGAAGGGAGGAGGAGTGAGGGGTGGCGTGCAGCCGACCCTCGACTTGGGGAGTGCATTGCGGCGCGGACGAAGGAGGGAGCGCCGCAAAGAGGCACAGGAGACCGGAGACAATACCTTGACTAAACATGCTATGGAGGCGTGAGATGGACGGGTGACCAGTTCTGGAGGTGCAGAAGGTGCTGGAGTCATCGGTACTGGAACTGGAGATGCTAGTTCTGAGGGATCTAGAGCCAGAGGCGCTAATTCCCCCCTCCCTACCGCAACCTGACCCGTTTCCAGAAGCTTCATCCGCTGGAGCGTGAGGCGCAGGATATTGGAGCTCGAGAGGTTGGAGCTGGAGCAGCAACAACGGGAGCTACAGCAGAGGGAGTAGCAGCAGCAGGAGGAGGAGGAGCTGCGTAGCATTGGCAGCAATGGCAGCGGCAGCGGCAGCAGCAGCGGCAGCGGCACGGCAGCGGCGGCGGCAGCAGCAGCAGCAGCAACGGCGGCGGCAGCAGCAGCAGCGGCAGCGGCAGCGGCGGCGGCATCGGCGGCGGCAGCGGCGGCGGCAGCTGCGGCGGCGGCGGCGCCAGCTGCAGCGGCAGCACAGCAGCGGCTGCGGCGGCGGCGGCTGCGGCGGTGGCGGCTGCGGCGGTGGCGGCGGCGGCGGTGGCGGCGGCGGCGGCGGCAGCAGGTCTACTGAGGGTTACTGTTTCAACTTGGGCTCTGGAGCTGTTTCGTGGAGGTCCACGCGCTCCTCCTCAGTCTCGACCTCTACCGCTGAGGCTGAGATCTACGCTGGAGTCATGGTTGCACAGGAGCTGCGTTGGTTGACCTTCTTGCTCACAGACCTTGGTGAGCGGCTGAGCTCTGCACCGACTTTGTTCACTGACAATAAGGCAGTGATTCTTCTCTGTTGGGAGCCTCGATTGGAGAGCAGAGTGAAGCACATCAACGTCAGGTACTTTCTCCTGCAAGAATTGCAGAGGCGTGGACAGGCTCGCTTGGACTTTGTGGAGTCCGAGGCCAACACTGCAGACATCTTCACCAAGGCGCTTCCGTCTTGTGACCACCACAGGTGTGTGCAGTTAGGTTTGCTGACACTAATTCTCGTCTTGTGTAGATGTTGCTTGTACACCTGTGAACTCTAGAATTGGCCTTGTGGCCATTCTGCTTGTGCTCGGAATGTGTGGTGACGTTGTGATCCACCCTGAGCTATGTTGCTTTGTGACTGGTCTTGTGACCGTACTCTTTTATTTTTTGCTTGACATCCCTTACTTAGGCTATGGGGGTGTGTCAAATGTTGTAGCCTGTAGTGAGGCTTGTCTTATGGGGTACAAATGTTAGGGTTAGAATATGGACCCCAACCCACATCTTTCATATACAATTCAGTTTCTGACACAAGTGTACGGAAATATATGTAAAATATATTCTGACGTTGCCTACTCGACTCACAGCCACGTACCTGCACGTTGCCCTCGTGTGGACCGCGATTTCGGTTCATCAGGCGACCCTGAGCTAAGTCGCGTGCAATGCGCCTACGGTGCCGAGCGTGGCGTATTGTTGCTTGCGCGCCGTGCAATATACAAAAATTAGATGTGTTTCGTGTTCGGGGAAAGTGGCACGGACGCGTGCTCATCAGGACGGTTGTTCGTAGATGTGCTAGGGTTGCTGTGTTCCACGCGTTGGAGACGGCGTGCATGTTCGCGTATTTTGTGCTGGTAGTCTTATGTAAGGAGCTGCTTGTTGTGCAATTGCTTCTGTGTGTGAAAGTGGCAGGGTGTGTGTGCGACCAGGAGGGTTGGGCTTCAGTCGCTTGGTGTATTTTGGGTGTTGCAAGGTTGGTTTCTATACTTCCAACCAAACCCACTTTCCGTTTTGCGTCGCCTAGTAACCACTCACGCCAAGTGCTTTGCAGTTGATTCCAAAACGTTTACGTAAGACATTGGCTTTAACGAAATGCGTTAAGAAAGAACATACAAGAGGGTACATGCTATCTCATACCCTCTATGGTGCTACCCTATCTACCCCTGTAAGTTCCCTGTAAGTTCACATGCAGAACATATGTGCGTAATATGACACAAGATAAAGATATATTTACACATTAACACTTGTGGCATTATAAATACAAATCTGTTATACCGTACGTGGAGATGTAGTATCGTGCTCTGGCGATGAATGATCGCGTTCTTGTGACTCGGTATCGCGTTTTGGCGACGCAGCATTCCGAGCTCCCCGAGTCAGGCATTGGTCGTAACTGAATTATTGTTGTACATAACGCACGGTGATTGGAGAATATCGCATCGACCACAGTCGCAGCAAGTTCTGACGTCTTCGCTTGTTACGGAGTTGGTCGCCTGAAATACCCTCCCTCAAGCATGCTCTCGCTACCCATATTCCACGCCCCTCCAGCCACTGCCCCCAGCGCACCCTAGTCGACTGCATAGTACTGTAGTAGTCGGCCAATAGTGATGCGGCAACGCGAGATGTCGCGTACCCGCAAAAAGCGGCGTTGTCCAATCATCAGCGTCACTCATCCGCCTTGAGGCCGTTCGCAAATGACTGAACGGGCCTCGTTCACTCCCTTCACCTTCCGTTCTCGTCCCCAGCCCTTCTCAGCATAAATGCTGCCAGTGGCAGCGATGGGCGCTTACAAATTTCCTCCTTCCCTACGTTCACCGTATCTCACCATTCCACACGATTTTCCTTCTCCCCTCACGCATCGCTGCCTCGTGCGTCGGTCCGCGCCATATCAATTCAAGCAAGCCAGCGCGCAAGCGCCGCTTGGAGCCGTGACCGCAGCAGCAACGCCGCAGTCCATCCTCGGCGTAACCTAGCGCGGGCCGCATCTCACGGGATCACCACGCTGCGGCGCGCAGCCACACCGTCCCCTCGCCAATCGTCCCATCGCTCGCTGCCAATCGTCGCTGCGCCATATCATGCCGCCACGTTCCGCCGTGCGAGCTGGCGTCGCCGCAGTCGTCGCCGGCGTCGTCGCTCTCTCGCTCGTCGCAGGCACCAGCGCCTTGATTGTGTACGACACGGTGCTGACATTTAAAGCCCCGCGAATCGATGGAAAGTGGGGTTTCATCGAGTCCGTGTGCTTCGACCTGTCAGCGAAGTTGTTTCCCGACGGGAGTGACGTCAGCATTGTGTGGGGCGGCAAGACGCCGTTCTATCGCGAGTGCAACAGCATCTCCTTCCACTCCGTCCCGGGCTGCGCCGGACCTCCCAAGGCCACGTACCTGCGGCCTGCGAACAATGCACCCACTTCGTGGTGAGCTGAGCTGCCATGATCTGTCGCACAATGCCCACTTGTTCCCTTCAACGCATTTTCGACACTGTTGATTCATTTGGTTCTTTCATTTGGTTCTGCTAATTCATTCGATTCTGTTAATTTATTCGATTCTGTTAATTCATTCGGTTCTGTTTATTCGTTCGGTCCCCTGTCCTCCCTTCTGCTCCCCTCTGCTCCCCTCTGCTCCCCTCTGCTCCCCTCTGCTCCCCTCTGCTCCCCTCTGCTCCCCTGCCGCCCCTATGCCCTCACTGCTGCTGCTCACAGGGCGCTCCCCGTCGCAGACTTTCCACAGTCAGTGAAATGCGAGACGGGTAAGGATGCACACCTTTTCCCGCACTCTCTTCCAGGGTGTCACGCGCTTGCCCCTCTGGTAAGAGCAATGCGTCTGCCAAGGCCTCAGAGCTTGCCACATGCTGCAGTGCAGTGCAGTGTGGTGCGGTACAGTCCGGTGTGGTGCGGTGTGTGATGTGGTGGGGTCGAGTGCAATGTGTAGCTAGAAGGTCGATGCTGAGGTGCATGACACATGGCGTGTGTCACACACATCAGTTGCCACATCATTCTGAGCTGTGCAAATCATTTGCCTGCTTTACTGCGCGCAACTGCAGCACACTACCCTGACTGATGTGAATCGTGAAGTCAACCATGAACCTCACAGTGTCCTTCATCTCCCCCCTCACTCCCTCTGTATCCCTCCTCCCTGCCTCCACAATCGCCCCATGCGTGTCCCCAAGGCTGCGGGGCGGGCAATGTGGACTGTGGGGTGGAGGCCAAGTGCATGATAAAGGAAAGCAAGGGCGAGTGTGTGTGCGCTGGGGCTCTAGTCTTCGACGCCACTGCCAAGCAGTGCCGTGGTGAGTCGCACTTGATGCGTGAGTGTAAGTGTGTCGTAAGGGACGCAAGCTGGGGTGTGGGTGTGGGAGAGTGGGGCCTCCTGAGGTGTGGGTGTGGATGCCATGTGCGTGCCTGCGTCAGTCCATAACGAGCATGGGCAGTGCGTGAGCGGATGCCATGTGCGCCCCTTTCAGTGCCACTGCCACCGTGTGCCAACGTCACTCAGCAGTCATTCATGCCTCACAGCCATTTCTTCTCGTGCGTCTCTTCCTGAAGCTTCTTCCTCCACCTCCTCTCTTTGCTGCTCATGTTCTCAAGGGATTGACTGCTGCCTTCTGCATCGTCTGTACAAGTGGGAGAGCCCTTCTGCATTGTGTGTACATGCTTCTCATGCTGACTGGGAGAGCCCCCATGCTTCTCGCGCTCCAATCTAACGCACTCGCCCACCCAACCTTTCCCTCGCTCCTTGCTCGCCCCTGTCCTGCTGTGTGCAGCGCCCCCACCCTCCTGTGCCACCATTGTGTGTCCGACCAACTCCACCTGCAATGCCACTGCCGACCCGCCCTGCATCTGCAATGCAGGGTTTGAGATGACAAACGGCCAGTGCGTTGGTAAGCTTCCTCCTTCTCACCCACTTGCTCAGCTCCTCTTCCTTCTCTCTTCCTTCCCTCATTTTTCCTTCTCTCCCTCTTCCTTCTCTCCCTCTTCCCTCTCACTCTTGCTGCTGACCCTCTTGTCCCTCACCCTCTTGCCTCTCCCGCTTGCTTCTCACCCTCTTGCCTCTCACGCTTGCTTCCTTTGCACCTTTCTTGCCTTTTCCCTGCTGTGTGCAGCGCCCCCACCCTCCTGTGCCACCATTGTGTGTCCGACCAACTCCACCTGCAATGCCACTGCCGACCCGCCCTGCATCTGCAATGAGGGGCTCACCATGACAGACGGCCAGTGCCTTGGTGAGCCTCCTCCTTCTCAACCTCTTGTTTTGTACCTTCTTCCTCCTCTCCCTCTTCCTTCTATCCCTCTTCCATCTCCCCCTCATCCTACTCTCCTGTTTTCTCACCCTCTTACCTCTCACACTTGCTTCTCTCGCCCCTTGCTCGTCCCTGCCCTTTTTTCTGCAGCGCTCCCACCCTCCTGTGCCACCATTGTGTGTCCGACCAACTCCACCTGCAATGCCACTGCCGACCCGCCCTGCATCTGCAATGAGGGGCTCACCATGGCAGACGGCCAGTGCCTTGGTGAGCCTCCTCCTTCTCACCCTCCTCCCTCTCTCTCTGCTCCCTCTTTCTCCGCCCCCACTTCCATCTCACCCGCTTCTTTCTCTCCTGCACTGCGATTGCATTTTTGTCTTTGATCATCCTTCCTTCCTATTTTGTGCTCCTTGTAACGTCCAGCATGCATGTCGTGTTTGAGACGTGTCCCAGCGCCTCAACACTCCACACTGTCCTCCCTGTCATCTTCCATCTCTGGTGGCCCCTGTTCCTTGGTGGCAGCCGTGTGCAAGCGTGCCTGTGCTCGCAATGCTGAGTGTGCACTGGTGGGCAACAAGCCTGCGTGTCGCTGCAAGGCTGGATACGTGAGGAGGCGGAACAAGTGCATGCAGTCACCCCCCCCAACGGGATATTACTACTAGGGTTCGATGGAATGGGAAGATAGGGTGAGCTGCTTCTCCCCAACCCCCTGCGGTTCACCACATGCCACGTCATGCCACCCTGGTTCCTTGTCTTTCCCCATCCACCTTGAGCAAACACACCCAGCCCTTAATTCTGCTCACCTGTGCTGTGTATTGTTCCTCGACTCTTTTCTGGTTGGTGCAGGAGTGGGAGAATCACCAGCAAGGGGGCCAATAGGCTAGGCGGGGTGGCAACACCTCAAACCTCGAGCCAAGCATCCTCAGTATCAAGGGAACACTACTGCTGAAAGGGTTGACATCACACACTATCATAATTCAGAATTTAAAGTAGGTTTCTGTTGTGAATTTCAATGTGAGCTTTTCTTTTCAAAGTGGGAGTTGGGTTGGGACATCATAACTGTGTATTGTAATGTGCACGTTGTTTGTATGTACCGTCATACCCCGGATATAAGCGCCACCCTCGGATAAGCGCCTGGTGCTTTTAATTGGCGTGTGGCGCTTATATCCCTTGCTCGATTATAATCGCACCCCCTGAAAAAACTTGTTTTATTATAAGCGCAGGTAAAACTTTGAAATTTGAAATGTGTTCAAAACGCTGTAACGAATTTTACTTTAGCAGGCGGATGTGTTGCAGATTCGGTTCCCTTCACATTCGGACCCTGCACTGGATGCGGGTCCAGTCAGCAGGAGCTGTCAGGAGCTGTCAGGAGCTGTCAGGAGCTGGATGTGAGTCAGATTGGGTGTATCTCCCTGCGCGCGCGAGAATTTCACATACAACCCCATATAACTTCGACTCGATTGAAAAGACAAGCACGAGATCTACAATTTGGTGTAAAAAAATATAAAAAACATATATGTCATTTTATAAACTCCGGCGCTTATAAATTTACTCGATTATAAGCCCACCCCCCTAAAAAAAACTGTTTTATTTTGCTCCCCATGGGGGTATATCCGGGGTATGACGGTACCATAGGTTACTTATAATGGGCTTGTGCTTGCAGTGTGTAGGTATGTTGTTTTCTTTGTCTGGGAAAAGCAATTTCATGGGGGACAGAAACGGTTACCGTACCAAGGTCTCAGTGAAAAACAGCGGAATGGTTGGATTGATTGGGTTGGGGTACAAATATCTAACCCTAACTGTTTGTACCCCATATAGCATAACCCACTAGAGGCTATAACATTTGACACAACCCCATAGCCTAAGTGGGGAATGCCAAGCAACAAGAAACGCAACCTAAGGTCACAAGACCAGTCACAAGCAAGAGAGAAAACAAAGTTCAGTGTGGATCACAACGCCACCACATAGTATGAGCACAAACAAGAGGCCACAAGGCCAGTTCATGAGTGTACAAGCTAATATATATGGGACAAACAAGCAAGAGACAATAACTCACTACTGCAGTCTACTAGACCCAGTCTCAACGAGGCCTAACTGCAGACAAAATCGGCGGTGGTCACAAGGCTGAAGGGCCTTGGTGAAGATGTCTGCAGTGTTGGCCTCGGAGGCCACGAAGTCCAGACGTGCCTGACCGCGTCTGTGCAACTCTCGAATGAGGAAGTACCTGACGTCGATATGCTTCACTCTGCTCTCCAGTCGAGGCTCACGACACAGGAGAATCATCGCCTTGTTGTCAGCAAACAAGGTCGGTGCAGAGCTCGACCGCTCACCAAGGTCAGTGAGCAAGAAGGTCAACCAGCGTAGCTCCTGTGCACCAAGGGCTCCAGCGTAGATCTCGGCCTCTTCGGTAGAAGTCGTAACAGAGGAGGACCGAGTAGACCTCCACGAAACAGCTCCAGAGCCCACCACGAAACAGTAACACTGCGTAGACCTCTGAGTCTCAACGTCGTCGGCGTACGAGGAGTCGCAGTGACCGGTGAGTACAACTGGATGTGTCCCTCCAAGTACAAGCCCCATGTCCGATGTCGTGGCGAGGTACTTCACCACCCTCTTAGCCGCCGTCCAGCGAACAGGACGGTGTCTCCCAGTCGCAACAAAGCGAGAAAGGATGCTAAGAGGGAAGGCGAGGTCCGGACGAGTGCACGTCATCAGGTACATGAGGCAGCCTACCAGCTCTGCGTAGGGACCACTGGGCTCGAACGGCTCGTCAGGAAAAGGCCCAGTGAGTCTGTGGTCTACAGCAAGAGGGGTGGGTGTAGGAGAAGAGTGCTGAAGCCCGAACCGCTGAAGGACCTGCTGCACCATGTGTGACTGAGTCAGAGTGATGGTGCGAGCAGCTCTGTCCCTGGAGATCTGCAGGCCAAGGTAGCGGCGCATTTCCCCAAGGTCAGTGCAGGTGTGTCTCTTCTGCAGTTCGGACTTCACCTCCGCCAGTGCAACTGTGTCGGCTGTGGCAAAAACCAAGTCGTCAACGTAGACCAGAACGAAGAAAGGTGTACGCCCACGACGAACAAACAGCGACGGGTCGGCGGAAGACGGCTCAAACCCGAGGTCGGACAGAGTAGAGCGGAGAGTGTCGTGCCACTCACGGGGTGCCTGGCGGAGACCGTAGACCGGTCGTCTGAGGCTCCACTGGGTCCCAGGCGGGAAGGTGCTAATGAAGCCCGGAGGACAACGCAGCCAGATCTCCTCGTGTAGGCTGCCCTGCAGGAAGGCGGTGGAGAAGTCGAGGGAGTGTAGCTCGTAGTTCCTCTGTGCCGCTACGTGAAGTAACACCCGAAGAGTGGTCATCTTCGGGGTGGGCGCGAAGGTCTGAAAGAAGTCAACCCCCTCGCGCTGACTGAACCCTCTAGCCACGTAGCGTGCCTTGAAGACTGGGGGAGATCCCGGCGGCCGCTTCACCTTGAAGATCCACATGCCGTCAACTATGTTCGCCCCTGGGGGGGGAAACCTCGTCAACGTAAGTGCCTGTGGACCTGTAGGAGGCCATCTCTGCGTCCATGGCAGCTCTCCACTGAGAGGCCCAAGGCCCTGACACTGCCCCGGCGTAAGTGCGAGGAGTAGGTATGTCAGGAGCTTCGGGGTCTCCCTCAGGAGCGAGGAGCATGGCACAGAGATGAGGCGAAGCAGCTGCTAGGAACTCTAGCTCAAACTGTCTGTCCTCTAGGACGTCACTGTCAGAATAGTAGCTAGAACAAGGAGCCATAGCTAGGCTTTACCTAGCTAGGCAAGAGAGATAAGCAAAAGAGGGTTTGAGTAGCAACAGTTTGGGATACAAATAGGAAACCCTAAGAGGACGTACTCACTATAGGGTACCCTACTGCAGGCTAGACAAGCATTATATTCTGACACACCCCCATAGTCAAAGTGGGGTATAATCAGCACAGCAAGCAGGCATAGAGCAGGTTCACAAGGACAAGCAAAGCTAGAGGCATTCACAAAGGGCAAGTGAGGAGGAGGAGGCGGGACTGTAAGAGGAGAGGAGATAGGAGGCGACGACTGAAGCTGCAGACACATGGGCAACAGGAGTCACACTGGCACAGCGGCTACCGGAACAGCGCCCCGGACTACTGGAGTAACTGGCTCCGCGGCTAAGACGAGCGGCAGGAGCAACGGACCCACGGGCGACTGGCGCAGCTGGCTACGACTGGGCTACCGGAGCAGCGCCCCGGACTACTGGTGCTGCTGACGACACGACGACAGCCTCCGTTCAACCTCCCCCAACTGTCCCACCCCCCCTTTCACACACCCCTTGCTGCACCCCTAGCTCCACTCCCACGTCACCCCCCTAGCACCACTCCTTCATCTCCCACACACCCACCCCCCTCAGCGGCAGCTGCAGCAGTGGGAGACGGAGGAGGAGGAGGAGGAGCAGGGGACTGCGCACACACCCGCCACCCCCACACCCGCCACCCCCAAACCCTAAAACGGAGGAGGCATGGGGAGGGAGATGAAGCGGGGCGGCGCGCGGCCCCCAGGGCGCCACGACGGGCGACGGGATGGGGGGGACGCTCGGCCCCCGGGGCGCCTCGACGGGCGATGGGATGGGGGGGACGCGCGGCCCCTAGGGCGCCTCGACGGGCGACGGGATGGGGGGGGGGGGACGCGCGGCCCCCATGGCGCCTCGACGGGCGACGGGATGGGGGGGACGCGCGGCCCCCGTGGCACCGCGACGAGACGACGTGAAGGGGGGGGGTGACGCGCGGCCCCCGGGGCGCCTCGACGGGCGACGGGATGGGGGGGGACGCGCGGCCCCCGTGACGCCACGACGGGCGACGGGAGAGAGCGCTGCGGGGGGCCCCCCCGGGGCACCGCGACGGGCGACGGGAGAGGGCGCCGCGACGGACGACAGGAGAGGGCGTCACGACGGACGACGAAACCGCCGCGCGCACCCGGGGCGCACGGCGGGCAGAAAACCGCCGCGCGCCACGAGCGCGCGGCGGGATGAAATAGTGTCCCGCGCCCAGCAGAACAGTAGCAGCGGAAGCAGTAGGTGGGCCCACAGGCCAAGAGCGTAACAACTCTGATTCCATGTCAGAATAGTAGCTAGAACAAGGAGCCATAGCTAGGCTTTACCTAGCTAGGCAAGAGAGAGATAGGAAAAAAAGAGGGTTTGACTAGCAACAGTTTGGGATACAAATGGGAAACCCTAAGGGGACGTACTCACTATAGAGTACCCCACTGCAGGCTAGACAATCATTATATTCTGGCAGTCACAGCCAAGGGCAGACTCACCCCCGGCGGACAGAGGACGGACAGGAGGAGCGGCCACAACACGAGTGGCATAGTCAAGGCGACGCGTAGCAGTAAAGTCAGTGACAGT